TCCCTCTATTATCCCCCAACCCCCCCTCTGTCTCTCTATTATACCCCAATCCCCCCTCTGTCCCTCTGTTATACCCCAATCCCCCTTCTGTCCCTCCTATTATACCCCAATCCCCCCTCTGTCCCTCCTATTATACCCCAATCAGAACAAATTACTGTGACCGGGTCCTGGAGTAATTGTTACCGCACCTCTGGTATATCGATAAAAAAATGTGTAGAAGATCTGGGTTCCAGGTGACAAATCCAAAGAATGACGACCATCATCAATCATCAATCATCAATCATCAATCATCATCATCAATCATCAATCATCATCATCAATCATCAATCCTCAATCATCACATCTTTATTTGCATAAAGAGTTAAAAAGTAATAAAAATATAATATACGCGTCAGCCTACATTCTCAAAATCCATGATACCTCCAAAAACTACCCCAGAGAGTGACAGTAATGAGGCGTAACCTACAATAAAATACATAATACACGTAGAGAGTTCTCTGAATCATATATAGCACACAACTGCCTCATTCTTGAATGATACCGGGGTAGTTGTGTCTCCAACGCGTTTCACGTTCTAAGCGCTTCCTCAGGGAATGGAGGCAATCGATTCGGAAAGTAATCTGCGTGTGTCCGACCGGACCATTGAGACCGGACCCAGGGTCCTTTTTCTGGCACTCTCTGGACCCTGGGTCCGGTCTCATTGGTCCGGTCGGACACACGCAGATTACTTCCGAATCGATTCCCTCGGTTTCCTGAGGAAGTGCTTAGAACGCGAAACACGTTGAGAACACAACTACCCCGTATCATTTTTGACTTTTTTTTAACTCTTTGTGCCAATAAAGATGTTTTTATATTATTAATGATGATGTCATTCTTTTGGATTTGTTACCTGGAACCTTTTTTATAAGCCCCAGAGCTTCTTCACATTTTTTTTTCTATTGTACCCCAATCATCCCCTCTGTCTATTGTACCCCAATCCTCTCCTTGTCCCCCTGTTGTACCCCAGTCACCTTGATCTCCTCCTCTCTTCCTTTTAATATAAGAGCTGTGGACTGTCATGATTTGTAGAAATCAGAAATGGGGAGCAGTGTTGTCCTCAGACCTCCCCCTGCTTATATGAATCGCCCCCCAATAGAGATTTGTTTGCATGTTCTGTCTCCTCCTCTCCGGCCGCCATCTTGGATTTCACTAATGGCTCTGTTCTGTTTCCTCCCGCAGCCATCCCGTATCCG